CATTAAGGGAATTTACGGGCTTAAGTTTGTTCTTGTTAAGCAAATATATACGTATTTACTAAAACTGAGTGTTTGGGTTGGTTTGAAGAGTTCGGTCTGCCTCATTTTGTAAAACCCAGCTTCTACGTCGGCATTCAAATCAAAAACAGCAACATTCGTCAAATAACTTCTGTTGACTATATTTTCCTTTTCTATCACACTGTCTACCTGTAGGTGTAATGGTGGCTCGCGGTCTCTTGGCCAATCCAGCTTTGTTCGATCCCAACGTGGTCCGAAGTGAGGACTCGGAACTCGAAAGCCCTCATATAGCTGGAAGCCTGCTTCGCGAGTGGCTGGAACCGACTACTGAGCATGCCACCAGTACTCCCTTTAAGAACGTTCGCCGACAGGCCTACTGGATGCTTGAACAACATCTCAACAAGGCCACACGAAAAGTCCTCCACGAGATCCCTGACGTTGCTGGACTTTATGACTTTTCAAGCCTACAGTGGCCCGATGAGTGTACACCAGAAACACTACAAGCGTAACCCTCCCCCTGTGCATATGTATATATAGCATTACTCTACCTCTTTTTGTTACGTTCAACAAAAGCGTGAGGCTTCAGTGAGATTTGATCCTTAGTCAATGTCCCTTTGGTCTTGATTAGTGCCGTCTCTCTGGGGTCTCGAGTATTTTATTCCGTCCTACCGCCGACTTCTTTGAATTTTCGTCGCGAAGCAGGTGTACACCGGGTGAGGATGTGGTCTGAGCCAGAATTACTTGCGAAATTCTCTCGGAAGCTCGGGAAATAGCATCGAAACGGTAAAGTCAGCCTTAGCTTGGACTGAAAATGCTCTACCTTAAAATCTAACTTTTGTAAGGTTACTCTGATCTCGACCATTGTCCATAATAAATAGAAGTATGGACGGAGTGGATCTGTGTCTGTTATAACCGAGTGTGTTCCTGTGTCAGCACTGGCTAAGCCCCCAGTTACGTGTTAGGAAGAGAAGGCAGACAGGATAACCGAAAATAGTTTACTACAACAATTCCTGAGTAAACATCAACTCTGCACGTATCAGTCGACTTGTGCCGTGTTCGTCTGTGGTTGCGTCACGGCGTTCTCGTGTGCACTAGTAGTAAATACGGGTAACGTATGCATATAAGTTTGCAGAATTTATAGGATACAGTCATTACTGCGGACAAACAACGACAATTAACGGTAATTGCCTTTTTGGGTGTTGATAGTTTGTTGAGCAACATGCGGGTGCTGACCTGCTGAACTTTCATCACCCGTGGTGGACTCGAGCGTAATGATTGCTCGGCCATCTGGACCTACGGGGCTTGGTATAGGATGATGCGGTGGCATGTCCGTTCCCCAAGTGGCGACTTGCCATGGCTAAATTGAGTCTCAGCACCGAATATGGATTGGGCCTTGGATCTCAAAACGTCAGACCAATAAAAGTATTGTCCCAGCGATCAAGTCGTCTTCTTCTCAAAGCAGGCTAAACTGATCGCCCATATTCTTCGTGATTCGACTAAAGTGCAAAGCCAAACAATGTCATCTCACTTTTTTCGCGCAGCCCACTGAATCTGTGAGTGTGTGTCGTCCACTCCACCTCAGATGACCGAGCAGCTGGTTGGTGACTTGATGCTGGCGCTGTTGGGGGAGATGGTAAGGTCGGCCCTCAGCTAATTTATTTCCACGCTATAAGCAAGATGACTTGCGCTTGGAGCTATCACGGTACGCTAAATCCGTGGCTTGGAGGGCTGCTAACTAGAGGAATAAATTAGACCGTGAGCTGCTAATCATATGTGTGTGTTTTGTCGTGTGGAGTGGCCGGTTGGCGGACTGAGAGTCAGGTGGTAATAGCTCCTTCTTAATGTAGCCTGCATGGCACTCCCGCCAATGCGTGAGTCAATCTATCAAGATGTGCTCTTGGTACGCGTACTGGAATGTTAGCCGCGCCAGCCACCTGCACCCTTTCTCATC